CTCCCTCTCCGTCTCTGTGCCTTCCGGGCAAGCACATCCACCCTCCGACATAAAGGGGGAAAGGAAAGGAAAACCAGGAAACAGCTCCGTGGAGACAGCATGTTTGGCCGACATGCTGGTGCGGGCCAGGGAGCGAGTGGAGATTTTCCACTTGAAACTGAGGCTCAAAACCGTATAAAGGGAAATGTAGAACTCAGAGGTTATTACTGAAGATGTAGGCGGTTCCGGTCCCTGACAGAAAATCCATTAGCAATAATTTATAAGAAAGCATCTGGCTCTGAATGAAAAACACAAGCCTCCACTGGCGAGTTTCGTGGGCTGGCAGCAGGGGTCTGCCTGCCGTGCCAGGATTACGCCTGTGTGCTTACGGGGGACCGACGACGTCCAGGCCTTTCTAGTGACGCAGGCCTGCACAGCCGCCGCTCGGCTCGCCCTGCATGGTCAGACTGCAGTCCGTCCTCCACCTGGGAGCAGGATGGGGGCATGCAGTCACACACGCCCGACATTAATGCAGTGTGCACGGAGAAAGCACACAGCTGGAGGCCGTCTCTCCCTGGGCTCGGCTCTCTTGGTAGCCCCACGTACCTGGTTTCGTCTAGTCTGGGATGCCCCCGCCCCGTACCCCTTGTCCACTCTGACTGGCCTTTTCTAGTCTGAGTGGCTGCGTGGAGCGGAGTAACTCGTGTACTACTCTCATTGGATAGCACGTTTTCTCCAAGTGCTTTGTAAACATTAGCTACTGGAATAGCGCTGGCTCGGGTCTGCGGTCCGGACGATGCTGTGCGTAATCTCCCGCGCGAGGTCCCTTCAGGGGTCCCGGCCTTCGCTGCCCTTTCTCTCTCTGGCTGGGATGCCCTTTCCCGTCCACCCTGAGTGTCTCCCCGGGGGAAGGCCTATGGCGGTATGTGGGGGGAGTGGAGGCTCGGAGGCTTTGGGGCCAGGTGGAGTTCCAGTTCTGTTACTTATCAGTTACAGCCCCTCTGCTGTAATGCCGGGTGACCCTGGGAAGGTCGCTCCGGCCAGGTGGGTCCTCGGTGCTCACGTCTGTAAAACAGAAGGTTAGGCGTGGAGTGAGGTCCACGGCACTGAGCACGAGCCGGAGCACCGGGGCTCCACATTGCTTCCAGGCGATTCTCTGTCCCGAAACGGGGACCGTTTATGGTCATGGCTCGTTAGAAAGCAGGAGGCCCCAGCAGAAACAGCCCATACGGAGCAGTTGGCACCCGCCTTGCCCTGCTCTGTGACCCGAGTGCTGGATGCCCTGCATTCCATCGGAACTACCAGCCGAATGCAAGGAAGAGGCGGCCGGCTGTGTAGACAGGCCCCTGCCCTCGGAGCCTGCGGGACTCGCAGCCTGGCCGTGCTTGTAGAGGGGCCCGCAGTCCCAAGAGCTTCCTGAAGAGCAGCCCGGGGGGCTCTGACCCTCCAGGAGAACTTGCCCAGCGCTGCAGGAGCTGAGGGGTCAGGAGCTCGTGCGAGGAGGAGGACTACAAACTGCTTAGCGCATGGTACTCCCCAGGCCGGAGGGACATGCACGGAGCTCCTCCTCCCAGAGGCAGTGCCATGACCCGTAGTGACAGGTAGTGCGGGTCCCTGCCAGGGTCTGGTCGTGCTCTCTGCTCTCGCTTCTCCCCGGCTGGCCCCCCAAGTCCCTCCAGCACCGTCAGAGAACGCCGCCCGCCGCTGTCACTCACAGACCTGCCGGGCTCTTAGCTGCCCTTGTGCTCATGCTCTGCTCGGGAAGGAGGGAGCGTGTGCCCCTGACCGGGGAGCGAGCGCCACTGAGCGTGCGCCCCTGCACTGAAGCCTCAGCCTCAGAGTCTCCGCCGTCCCTCTGAGGGTCAGCACAGGCACCGTCATCGTTCACCCTTTCACAGCCGGTGGCTCCCAGGCTCCGGTAACAGCGTCACACCTTACTGTGGCTGCTCTTCGCTCATCTGGCTTCCCTACCTTCATCCCAGCGTCGTAAGTCGGCTTTACTCATCCTCGGCATTTAGCTCAGCGTCTCAGACACAGACGGCTTCAGTAAAGATTGCATATGTATGTATGTATATGTGTGGGTACATATATGAAACTAGAAATGGGGACCAGC